TTAGCTAAACACACTTGGATAAAAGAGAGGGATCAAATAATTACAGGGATGCTTGGGTGCCTCAGTTGGTTGAGTGTCCAACTCTTGATTTTAGCTCAGGTCATGATCCCATTTCATTTGGCTCATTTCATTCCTCTTACATTGAGCTCTGTGTCAGGATCCACACTGTGTGTGGAGCCTGCTTAAGATTCTCTCTCTCTCCCCCCCCTCCTCTGTCCCTCTCCCCTGCTCTCTCTCTCTCTCTCAAAATACATACATGCATACATACATAGTCAGTCAGAAATGAAAGCAGAGACATTACAACGGATGCCACAGAAATAAGTCATAGGTGACTACTATGAACAAATATATACCAACAAATAGGATAACTTAGAAGAAAAAATTTCCTACAAATATAAAATGTACCAACTCTGAATCATGAATAAATAGAAAATATGAACAAATCTATAGGAGTAAGGAGATTGACTCACTAATCAAAAGGAGAATGAATGAAAGCCAGAAAAGTTGCAGGAGATAAGAGGAATATATACAAATCAGTTCTATTTCTATGCACTAGCAAATAAAAATCTCAAAATAAAATTAAGAAATTCCCATTCACAATAGCACCAACAAGAATGAAATACTTAGAAATACATTTAATGAAGAAAGTTCAAGACTTGTACCCTAAAAACTACAAAATATTCTTGAAATTTTTAAAGAAAACCTAAATAAGTGGAAAGACTTATGTTTATATATTGGAAGACAATATTGTAAGAAGAAGATACTCTTTTTTTAAAGTTTATTTATTTTGAGACAGAGAGCGCGTGTGCAAGTGGGGAGGGGCAGAGAGAGAGACAGAGAATCTCAAGCAGGCTCAGCACTGTCAGTGTAGAGTCGGATGCGGGGCTCAAACTCATGAACTGTGAGATCATGACCTAAGTCGAAATCAAGAGTCAGATGCTAACTAACTGAGTGACTCAGGCGCCCCATGAAGATATTCTTTTTTAATGTTTTTATTATTTATTTTTTCAGAGAGAGACAGACAGACAAAGTGTGAGCAGGGGAGGGGCAGAGAAAGGGGGAGACAAAGAATCTGAAGAAGGCTCCAGGCTCTGAGCTGTCAGCACAGAGCCAGACACAGGACTCTGAACCCAGGAACCCTGAGATCATGACCTGAGCCACAGTCAGACCTTCAACCGACTGAGCCACCCAGGTACTACACCCCTTCTTGAAGATACTCTTAAAGTTGATGTACATATTCAATGTATGAGTTTTTCTGTGAAAATTCCAACGGCTTTTTTCTTTTTGCAGAAATTAACAAGCTAATCCTAAAATTCATATGGAAATTCAAAAGAGCAAAAACATCCTTGATAAAGGACAGTTTGAGGACTCTTACTTCCTGGATTAAAAAAATTATAACATTATAGCAATAAAAAAATGTGTTACTCACATAAGGATAGATATACAGATCAAAGGAAGAGGAGTGGAGAAATAAACACATACATCTATGGTCAATTGATTTAAAAAAATTTTTTTTAACGTTTTATTTATTTTTGAGACAGACAGAGCATGAACGGGGAAGGGGCAGAGAGAGAGGGAGACACAGAATCGGAAGCAGGCTCCAGGCTCCGAGCCATCAGCCCAGAGCCCAACGCGGGGCTCGAAGTCACGGACCGCGAGATCGTGACCTGAGCCAAAGTCGGATGCTCAACCGACTGAGCCACCCAGGCGCCCTGGTCAATTGATTTTTAAATAATTAATAAACTTAATTTTTTAAGAGCAGTTTTAGGTTTACAGGAAAATTGAAGAGAGTAGAGTTTCCAGATACTCCTTGCTTCACTTCATAGTTTTCCTTATTATCAATGTCTTGCATTAGTGTGGTACAATTGTTTCAACTGATGAATCAATACTGATATTTATTATTCACTAAAAGTCCATGTTTTACATTAGGTTTTACTCTTTATGTTGTATATCCTGTCATGGTCAACTGATGTTTGACAAGGATGCTAAGATGATTCAATGTAAAAAGGATAGCCTTTTCAACAAATAGTATTAGGTAAAAGAATGAATTTGGACCTCTATCTAAGCTAACATCCCATAGAAAAATTAACTCAAACTGGATCAAAGATCTAAGTATAAGAGCTAAAATTTTAAAACTCTTAGAAGAAAAGTTTGAGTGAGTCTTTGTGACCTTTGATCAGACAATAGTTTCTTAGACATGATACCTAAAGCACAAGCAGCCAAAGAAAGGTAAATTGAACTTCATTAAAAATTAAAACCTTTTATGAGTCAAAATATACTATCAAGAAAGTGAAAAGATAATCTGCAGAATAGGAGAAAGTATTATTAAATAATATATCTGATAAAGATCTAGTATCCAAAATATGTAAAAAATTCTTACAACAATAAAAAGACAAATAACCTAATTTAAAAATGTGCAAAAGAGTTGAATAGACATTTCTCCAAAAAGGATACATAAGTGAATAATAAGCATATAAAAAAGATGCTCAACATCATTAATCACTAGGGAAATACAAATCAAAACCACAATAAAATACCACATTACACATACTAGGACAGCTATAGTAATAATAATATGATAAGGGTTAGCAAGGATGTGGAGAAATTGGAACCCTCTTATCTTGCTGGTGGGACAAGTAAAGTGGTACAGCCACTATGAAAACCAGTTTGGTAATTCTTCAAAATGCTAAAAAGAGTTACCATATGACCCAGAAGTTGCACTCCTAGGTATATACCCAAAATAAATAAAAACATTTGCTTTCACAGAAAACTGTATATGAATGTTCATAGCAGGGTTACTCATAATAGCCAAAAAGTGGAAACAACTCAAATACCCATTAACTAATGAATGAATAAACTCTATGCAGTATATCCATAAAATGGACATTAATTCCTTATCAAATAGATAAATGCTGTATTTTTATCGTATAATATTTCTGTGCAAGCTATACTAAATATATACCTGTATAAATTATGGTTCATGGTAAAATAGTTCATATGTGTTACTAGCTGCAGGATATTAATCTCACTAAATTAAAGTTATAGAAAACTTCTCACCTCCTGCAACGTTCTTGAATTTTTTCTGATTAATCAGTTATATAGAACTTTAAATTCCATTATGAATACAAATATATACTTAACACATTCATTTTTATTGATTCACTGGAGAAGTCCTAAATCAGATGTGTGTGTGTGTGTGTGTGTGTGTGTGTGTGTGTATGTGTGTATATATATATATATATATATACACACACACACACACACATATATGTATATATATGTGTGTGTATATATATATATATATATATACACACACATACATACATACAGTGGAATATTATTTGGCAATCAAAAAGAATGAAATCTTGCCATTTGCAACTATGAGGATAGACTAGAGGGTATTATGCTAAGCAAATTTAGTCAGAGAAAGACAAAAATCATATGACTTCACCTATATGTGGAATTTAAGAGACAAAACAGATGAACATAAGGGAAGGGAAGCAAAAGTACTATAAAAACAAGGAGGTGGACAAAACATAAGAGACTCTTAAAAACAGAAAACAAACTGAGGGTTGCTGAAGGGGTTGTGAATGGGTGATGGACAAAATGGGTAAGGGGCATTATGGAAGACACTTGGGATGAGCCCTGGGTGCTATACATAGGGGATGAATCACTGGAATCTACTCCTGAAATAATTATTGCACTATATGCTAACTAACGTTATAATAATAATAAAATAATAATAATAATAAAAAATAAAATTTTAATAAAATAATAATAAAATAATTCACCAGCAATTTAAATGTAAAGATATTCATTCATTGAAACTGAAATAACAATGAAGTCCATTAAAAAAAAAAGTTTGAAGCACTTGCAAAAAAATTCTCAACAATAAGCAAGTATGAAAGCTAACAGAATAGATATTTGCTAACCAGAACATACTGAAATGGCACAATATTTAGGAAGTTTTAAATGGCATCCTGAAAGAAATGGTATACTGAATTATTTTCAAGAGGCTTACTTAATTTCAGTAATATTCACAGATAAGCAGAGACTTTGAGGGAATGAAAATGCAAACCAGCAGTGTCACTGCCTCAATATATACCATCAACAGAAGTAACACTGACAGAGCAAGGTGTCCTGATACGAACTCTTCCAAAACACAGCCAGAAGTGCAATGTTTAATCCTGTTGTTTATAAGTGAATATAATAACATTCCTGGGAGAATATCTAAAGCCAGCTATCTAAATGAACGATGCTTTTGGTAAATGAAACAATATATTTTGAAAACAAAGCTTAGTAATAAAAAAAAAATAGACGTATTTTACATAGAAGTGGATTTCTAAGAGATCTAGTACACCCGAGTTGTTGAATAGTATTGGAAATTTCAATAAGGTTATCTCAGCACATGGTGTTCAATTCTAAGGGATTTGACTTATACATTCCAAACATTTTACTTTGTTCTTTTTGTAGTCTAACACCAAAGACCATTTTCAAGTACTTAACGATTCAGGACATCAAAATAACAAATTCCAAAGTGGTGACTTTGAAAAATTATGACTACCAAATTGAGTAAATTTGCGAACAAAAGTGTTTGGCACTTTCCAGTGAATATCACCCTAATACCCTGGCAGCTTCCTTAAGTAGTATACAAAAAACAGACCCTTTCAATTGGTTTCATAATTTCTTTGCCTCTTTTAATAAATAGACAAAAACTAACATTCTACATGGTTTTGGATAAGATCTAATAAATTACAATGCTTAGAAACATTAATTCATTCGGAATTGCTCACTAACTTAGTAACATTTCAGATATGTTACACAAATTAGTGTAGAATCTAGCTTGGTTTCTATGTCAGGATTCTCCAGAAAAAGAAAACAGGCCATATCATTCATATATATATATATATATATATATATATATATATATATATGGAGAGAGAGAGAGTATATCTAGAACCTGTATATATAAAGAGATTTATCATAAGGAACTGGCTCACTTGATAATGGAGGCTGAGAAGTCCCATGGTCTGCTGTTGCAAGCCAGACATCCAGGAGAGCCACTGGTAGAGTTGCAATCTGAGTCCAGAGGTCTGAGAATCTGGAAAGCCAATATTCTGGTTCAAAAACAGTCAGGGAGGGGCGCCTGGGTGGCGCAGTCGGTTAAGCGTCCGACTTCAGCCAGGTCACGATCTCACGGTCCGTGAGTTCGAGCCCCGCGTCAGGCTCTGGGCTGATGGCTCAGAGCCTGGAGCCTGTTTCCGATTCTGTGTCTCTTTCTCTCTCTGCCCCTCCCCTGTTCATGCTCTGTCTCTCTCTGTCCCAAAAAATAAATAAATGTTGAAAAAAAAAATTAAAAAAAAAAAAAACAGTCAGGGAGAGCAAATGCTTCTTACCCTGCCTTTTCTTCTTTTCAGGTCTCCAGCAGATTGGATTAGATCCATCCACACTGGGGAAAGCAATCTGCTTTACTCAGTCTACCAATTCAAATGTTAATCTCATGCAGAAACATCCTCATAGACATCCCTAGAATATTTAACTAGATAACTGGGTACCCTGTATTCTAATAAAGTTGATACATACAATTAATCATCACATTTTCTATCACAAAATTGCCTTTAAAAAAATCGATTTATGAATATAAACCCTTAACATTTCAATGAACTTCTACAGAAGCCTCTGTTAGTCATATGAGAGTGTACTCATATACTTTATGAACTAAATATAATTATTATCCTCATTTTATTGAAGTGGAAATTGAGGGTAAGAAGCCTGCCCAAGGTTACCTAACTAGTAAATGACAGGGTTGTGGTTCAAACTCATCTATTTAACCACCCTTCACCAGATAACTCTAGCATGGAAGGAACATTTGAAGGGTTGTATGCTGGAGGCAGTAAGACTATTACAACCTTGTGACAGCGTGGATGGAGATCTTGGAACGATTTTAGTGTTTTTATGGAGAAGAATCAAAAACACTATATATCAGAGATTGAGTGGGTATGTATGAAGGAATGCAAGGAGCCAAGGGTGACTGAAGTTCCATCTTGAATATCTTCTATTCCAACCACTCAAATTATTACATTTGACTCTCATGTAAGTAATAATAATAGCAGATTGCATTTTTCCAGAATAGGAGACATGAAGAGTTTTGAAATGAGTCTTTAATTGGTTTACAGAAACCATATATAGTACAATAATGAGAAACAGTCTTAATCCTAACAGATCTTCCTTTCTCTCTGAAACTGGTAGACAGACACTGGCTCTTGCCAGACTGCTATCGTCAACATATTGAGTTGATGAGTTTGTAACAGAGGGAAACATGGAGGGATGAAATGTAAGAAGTAATCCCCTCATTTATGATCTCTGGGCATATGGCTAGGAATAGGAAGAGAGAAAACATTGTGACTACTGACATTTGCCAGTCCTACCATGAATTTTGATAGAAAACTTCATTAGCTTTCTTTCTTTGAGATGTTTATTACTTGTTACTACCTTAATATAACAGAAAACTTTCCTTTTTCTTAAAAAAACCACACACACACACTCATTATTGGGAGTATGAAATCAGTAAGAGACATCGAAATCAACTAAGTCCCTTTAGCCAAGTACAAGAATCACACTGGCCAAAATGCTCTGAGTAAATTTCATTAATCAGCCATCTTCCAAAAGCACAGTATTTCTTCTAATTTCTTAGACATTATCTTTGGCCATGTCTTAGCTTTTGAGGTGTTTTGACTTATCAGTCAAATCCTGCCAATACCTTAGAGACAGTACTAGAAAAGAAGGCTGAGTTTTAGAAGAGGGGCCTTAAAGCAAAGATTAGCACTTTCCTAGCTAACGGCTCCAAGTGCAGTTGTGGGATTATGGAGCTGCTCAGCAAGGGCATTTAAAAGCTCAAGAGTGATGTGGCCCCCTTTCATCTCTGGAGGTTCTTAGTTTATTAAAAACGTTCTTTAAATGCTAAAGAGTTCTAACACTTGAAGTGTAACATGTCTACACTTAATACTTTTAATGCAGAAATATAGTACAACAGAATTATGCCGTTTTAGAAGATAATTACAACATTGGCAAAAGTTACCTATTCATAACACATGATGGGTCTGGGCCATCATTTAATCAGACCCAAGCATGAAATTGTATGATGGAAGTCATCGCCTTGCAATGGGTTCAGTACATCCCATTTGGAGATCCACATTTGAGGCCCTTCACAAATGTGGGCCTTAAATAAATGGCATCTCAGGTGCCCATTAGGGTAGGGCTGGGCCCAATTCATTTGACCCAAGAGAGTAGTTTACAAATAGACCTCAGACTCAGTTGGCAAATGATAATGTTTCTGAGACATTCCTGCCCCTTTCTGTCAACTCTTTTCCTAACAAAGATTTTTTTTGGCAGGGCTGGGGGCGGGGGGGGATATTTTGAATGCTTATGACTTGGGAAGTTCTACAAGTTGGCTCCTTGTGGGAATGGCCCAGAGTGATTTATTCTTCACAGGAATTTCTTTTAACCCCACAACACATTCCTCCTGCAACAGTGCCAACTGGACTAGATTCTGCCGTCACATAGATTGGGGTTCCACTTCTGCTCTGCCATGACCAGTTAAGTGACCTTGAGGAATTACCAACCACTCTGAGCCTGCATCTCAACTGGAAAATGAGGACAATAATAGTCTTTATTTCATAGGGTGGTCTGAAGATGAAATAAGCTGCTGCAAGCAAAGCATTAGTGTGCTGCCTGACATCTAGCTGGTACTCAAGCAAAGTTAATCATGGTTACCATTATTCTTTCCCGGAGTTATACCCAAATTCTCCAAGCAACATAGATATTGTAGAATATACAAAATACAAACTTTTCTCACTACTTTTTTGACGTTTTTAGTGTTTCAGATGTTTTACTTATTTTTAAAGGGGTTGAAGGCATGAAGAACTCTGAAGTGAAATAGCCCTCATGTAGTACCAAACGTGACCTCCAGATGTCAGTATGAACTCAACTGATTGAGGCAATTACTAACAAATAGGAGGGTTGAGGTTCCTCTACTGCCTTCAATAGAATTACAAATGTACAATAACCATTCTTTGATTTTAGGAAGGTAATAAATAGGTCAGCTTCTCTGACTTCATAAGATATTGTACCATAAAAATAGTACTGAAAAGTTGGACACCTTTAACCACGAATAAAAATATGGATGGAGGGTTATATTTAACACTTGCTCTTAGAAAAAAAAATTATATGATTGTGATAGATAGCCTATGGGTCTTCAAAAATTATTCAAGAATATCAGAGACCGTATCTAATATTTTTTACATTCTATGGCTGTGCAGTACACAGAGCTATTTCTACTAGAGAGGTAAATCAGATAATTGTTTCATGTCTATGAAAACCATGTCAATCCCTCTATAAAGTGGCTCACATTTATTGCAGGTGTTGCTACAGAAATCTCAAGAAGTTTGCTCTCAGAGGGCACTGTTATCCATTTTACTCATTTAATAAATATTTACCAAGCACCTACTATGTTTCAAGAAAGTTTTAAGTGTTGAGAATACAGCTGTGAAGAAAGCAAACACAATCCCTGCCCTAAAGGGGTTTGAAGCTTAGAAATGAAAGACAATAAGCACAATAAATAAACAACAATAGTGTATTAGAAACTAAAAATTTCTACAAATCAAAGAAGAGACGGAAACATTTAAAGTGTAGCAGTTAATGTGGGCCACACTGAAAGGTGGCATGTAAGCAAAAATTTGAAGGGACTGAGGGAGCAAGCCAACAAGCCCCGGGGGAAGGGCACTCCAGCCAGAGGCATCTACAAAGGTGAAGGCTCAAGGGACAGCAAGAAGGCTAGTGGGGCTGGACCAGAGTGGGATACCAGAGTGGGATGAGACTCATGATTTTCGGTAGTTGTGACACGATTTGACTTAGAACATCTTTGGTTCTTCTGCTAATAGACTGTAAGCCTGGAAAGGGAAGAAATCAATTAGGAAGCCTCTGTATTACTCTAAGTTAGAGACTCTGGTGGTTTGGAGGAAGAGGTTTGAATGGAGCATCTAAATATTAGTGTTCCAGTGAGGATATATGCATGCTTCTGGTAACTGGAAAGGCCTTCTAGGTTAAGGATGAAGCTGTTTTAAATTAAAGTCCACTCTAAAAACCAGCCAATTAACCAACCAACCAACCAACCAACCAATGAGACTTCATAGTCCTTTTATGCTTATGGATTGCTTTTGGGGAGCAGATTATATTGAAGTGACAAGACAATAAAATTTTTATTTCATAACAGTACAAAAAGAAAAAACAGAAAAAATGTAAGCATTAAATATACATAGAGCAGAGTGATTTTTATGGGAGACAAAAAGTGCAAGGTTTCTTCTGACCCTGGCAAAAATATTGGGATGAGATTTCATTCATAAAGAATTTTCTATTTTCTCTGGAATCCTAGTTTTTCTTAAATATCGCACTTACAACAAAAATGCCAATTCAGTGGTTTTTTTCCTTAATTAATAGACTTTTTAAAAAAAGCAGTTTAGGTTTATAGAAAAAATGGAACATAAAATAGAGAATTCCCATATACCTCTTCTTCCTCTCTTCTCCAAAGCAGCTTCCTCTGTTACTAACATCTTGCATTAGCATCATGATACATTTGTTATCATTGATGAACCAATATTGGTACATTATTAACTACAGTCCTTAGTTTACATTCAAGTTCACTGTGTTGTGCAGTTCCATGGATTTTGACAATGCATAATCTAACGTATCCACCATTACACTATCATACAGATTAGTTTCATTGTTCAAAAAATCCTCTGTGCTCTACCTACTCTTCCCTCCATGCTTTATCCTGAACCTCATCCAACCACTGATTTTTACTGTCTATAGTTTTGCCTTTTCCAGAATATTGTATAGAATCATACTATATATATGTGATCTTTTCAGACTGGCTTCTTTCACTTAACATTATGTACCTAAGGTTCCTCTACATTTTTTCATGACTTGATAGCTTATTTAATTTTATTGCTGAATAATATTCCACGTGTGGATACACTAGTTTCTTTATCCATTCACCTATTTGGCAATTATTAAAAGGCTACTATAAACATTTATGCACAGGTT